GAATAATATATCAGTTTCTCTTTATATTTGTCTTTACTTTACGGTCTTTATTTTATAACAACTTTATATTAATATGGGAGTCACAATTCAAAGATAATTAAGAAGCCACTGGATTAAGGGTTGTAGAACCGCAAGCACAGGATGACATGTATCTCTCATTAAACTTCACACGCGACCATTCATATGCAAACTTCGTACAAGGCTTCACAAATTAAATGCGTAATTATTAAACTAGGAACTTGATGTTGATGGGACTTCAATTTTTCCCCCAGATGGCATACCGTAAAACCACAATTTTTTCATACTCCGTCGGTCCAAATTTGTCAATTTTCATTTTGAAATTTGAATAGTTATAAAGAAATTTCTTAAATACTACTGATATATATAATTTATAGAGAACTAAAATTTTAAAAAGATAAGAAGCGCAACGGCAAATCATAGAGAAAGTAGGGAAGTCATAGTTTTAAAAATAACTTATTTCCAAAATATGATATTTCTTCAAATACGAATTCAAACTCTCGAGCTCGAAAGCCATCTAAATAGGGGTGGGAATAAGTTGATTCGGTTCGATTGTGAATGCTATCAATTTGGCATATCGGTTATCGATTTTATAAATACGCCAAGTCGATAATTGAAACGAGAAAATATCGATTATCAAGTATCGGTTAACTCAATTTGGAGGGATGAAGTGTAGTGTGTAATGCTAATTGATATTATAACCTTGATCCCTTTTAATTATATTTTAAAGAATGAACAAAAGTTTCATAATACATATCTATCCTCATCAAAAAAGTTTGTTCAATTGTAAATAGCAACAAAATTTGTTCAAATTACTTCATATATTCGCACATAGATGAACATCAATGAGATTATAAAATGAAAGAGAATGACTTTACCTTATTAACTAGAATTCTTGCATGAACTCTTCATTAGTTCTTTTTTATATCAAATGTAACAATGCTTGAATGGAGAGAAACATTATATATCATAAAATGCACTGATCCAAAATTGTAGCAAGAACAACATGCTCAGAAAATGTGGCACGATTACTCCAGAAAATACTGAATATTGAAAATGTTGGGGGACCATAATTAGAAAAGTTGTTTTCATATTAGAAATTAAGAGATTTGCTCAAGTCAAATTATCCAAACACATCAAAAACAACAAGAAATAATAGCAATTACACCTTGAAAAATAAAAAGTCCACATATCGTATTAATAGAATGAAGCTTTAAAGTGAATTATATATACCTACATAAGAGTAAAATTGGAATTTTGATAAAGCTTTATTGGGTTATCGATTAACAGCTTGTTTTGATGCTTGCTACTCATTATATCGTATTGTATTGTTGTTATTCCAAAATAATGTTTATTTTGATTGTTTATGTTGAATTGAATGTATTGTTAATTTTATTGTTCCGGAAAAATGAAATGTCCCATTTTATGAAACAATGGATTTGGTGTGTTGAGATCGTTTCCTATTTTTCTTTCTAATTATGCCCTTACTTTTTAGTCCATAATTATATTTTACTCTTTACTTTTTTTTAACCCCAAATCTCCACCCTATTAACATACTTTATCTTCATCCAATACAATATTATAAAATGATGGGTAACAATGATCTAAACAAAGTGTAAATCGTTAATAGTGTTAGCAAACTAAGACCCAAACGATAACCCAATAACTCCATACCGACAATCTCACCAATTTATTAAGCCCTTCTGTATGTATTGATGTCGCATATATGTCACCCTCGGGAGTCGTGATAGCACCTGCTAATGAGAGCTAGGCAAGCCAAACCTTACTACTTACTTCACTTTCATATTACCTCTTTTTAGCAAACATAAGGCGATAACATAATAACAACGGAACTTAAATAATTAAGCGGAAGTTAACAATTAAAATATCTGAAGCCTACATCCATTACAACTTTTAAAACCTCAAATACCCAAAACCTTGTGTCACAATGTCACAGACTATCTAAGATTTACTACATACAAGGTCTGAAGTAATAACAGTACACTGTTTCTGAATAGAGGGAAGTGAAACAGGAAATGGAGATAGAGGGAGACGCCAGACCCTGTGGTCGCCTGCAGGTCTATCTTGGGTCTCCGAGTGGATTGAAGGAAGCACTCCAACTACTGTCCAAAAGCTGCTCCGGGATCTGGACACAATGCAAAGTGTAATATCAGCACAACCAACCCCATGTGCTGGTAAGTGTCTAGCCTAACCTCGGCGAAGTAGTGACGAGGCTAGGACCAGACTACCAAATAAACCTGTGCAGTTATATGATATACAACAAAAAATAAAGCAGAAATAAACAAGTAAAGATGGGAGGGGAAAACATGTTTCGGGAAATAACAGGTAAGAACAGATTATCAAAAGAACTATAAAGAAATCAAAATCCAACCACTAACAAGAGTAAGAAAAATAAAGGCAGATTTCACTTTCTTTTCACATCTTGCGGTAGGCGTACTACCCACTCCCTTTTCGTTATATCTTGTGGTAGGCGTACCACCCGCTCCTATTTTATTATATTGTTGCGGCGTGCAACCCGATCCACATATAATATTGTTGCGGCGTGCAACCCGATCCACATATAATACCGTTGCGACATGCAACCCGATCCACATATAATACCGTTGCGACGTGCAACCCGATCCATATATAATACCGTTGAGGCATGCATCCCGATCCATATATAATACTGTTGCGGCGTGCAACCCGATCCATATATAATATTGCTGCGGCGTGCAACCCGATCCATATATAATACTGTTGCGGCGTGCAACCCGATCCATATATAATATTGTTGCGGCGTGCAACCTAATCCATATATAATATTGTTGCAGCGTGCAACCCGATCCATATATAATATTTGCAATTATAACGAGAGTCCCGACAAGGGATCAATAAGGTCTACACTATCTCGGCAAAGGAGAAACAACTATAACCAAACTTGTTCCGACATCTAACTACCTCAACTATAACCAACTCTCGCGTATATCTTCGCGATGGTCAAGCTGGATAAGCCTTCGCGTTCGCGTATACGGGCTAGCATTCGCGGAGAGTAATCTCCTCGAGCCCTAGCGCTCGTATCCAACAGGTCGCGTTCGCGTAGGTTAATTACCCCACCCCTGCCCAGGCCACTTGACCTTCGCGTTCACGTGGACAGGACCGCGTTTGTGAAGATATAGCCCCCCCATTGCCTCGCGTTCACGTAGAAGGAAATTCCTTCAGCAACAATTAACCCATCGTGTTCGCGTGGGTACTCCCGCGAACGCGAAGAAGGTAACACCAGAAACCCAACAGCTGAGAAACCTGCAACATTTACTAAGTTCGAAACCTTCCGAAACAAATATGAATCACACCCGAGCCCTCGGGGCTCCTAACCAAACACACGTACTAACTCAACAACATCATACGAACTTTTTCGTGCGATCAAATCGCCAAAATAACATCATAAACAACGAATTAAACCTCCAAATCAAAGAAATATTTCAAAACTTCTTAAACCTCAACTTTTGCAAATTAGGTCCGAAACACGTCAAACTACATCCGTTTTTCACCAAATTTTATTAAAATGTCTTAAATCATATATAAGACCTGTACCGGGTGCCGAAACCAAAATACGAGCCCGATACCATCATGTTCTAATCAAATTTCATTTCAAATTTCCTTAAACAATTTCAGAAAACAATTTCACTTAAAAATTCATTTCTCGGGCTAGGGACCTCGGAATTCAATTCCGGGCATACTCCCAAGTCCCATATTTTCCTACGGACCCTCCGGGACTGTCGGATCACGGGTCTGAGTCTGTTTACCCAAAATGTTAATCGAAGTCAAATTTATTCAATTTATAATCAAAACTTAGCATTTTTCACAGATTTTCATATTTAAGCTTTCCGGCTACGCGCCCGGACTGCGCACGTAAATCGAGGTGATGATAAATGAGGTTTTCAAGGCCTTGAAGATACATAATTCAATTAAAAGTAAGTGATAATCCTTTGGGTCGTCACAATATAATTTGTGGGAAGACTCTTAAATTCTTTTGTTCAAAATCATGTAACCCCTTAACAATATTATGCGTTATTAATTCCTTTCGTACTATAGAATTCTTTTATGGTGATATTTTATTACTTGGAGGATTGAATGTAATAAACAAACAATGAAGTGTTATCTGTTTCAGAAAACTAAAGTGTGTTATCCATTTGTATTGGTACTCAATCTTTTCTTTATTTTAAATAAAAAGAATACTCGTTATATCTTATATTACAAAAACAAAAAAAGCTAATTAGTGAAAACATCTGAGACCAAAATATGAAATTTGAAGCTTCATTTAATAAAAAAGTTTATTTAATAATTACAATAGTAGATACTTTCTCCGGTTCAAAATAAGTAATTTTTTAACTGTTTTCACACATATTAAAAAATTCAATCTTTTAACATTAATTAGTATTAAAATTGATCATATTAACCTTTACTATTTCTTTACCTAACACACACTCCAACACTATTTATTCCAAGGACAATGTAGAAAAAAATAATTAATTCATGAAATCTGAAAAAATCACTTATTTTAGATCATAAAAAGGCCAAAAAATTATTTATTTTAAACAGGAGGGAATATAAAAGAATAAATTCTCCTCTTATAATTGAATCTGATCAAATCAATGTGAAGGTAATCTTTTATCGAATAAGGTAAAGGATATATACATGGAACTTTTTCCAAGATTCACAAAATTGTTCAACGTGGGATGTTGGTTATGCAGAGGTTATAACATCAAGATTACTTTTCACTCCACCTTTGATTTTCTCTTCAATTGTTTTTTCCTTTTTCTTTATTTAGCTGTAAAATATGTCGACATGTTCCTGGGAAATGCTAGGCATAAGGTAAAAAGCCTTAAACATCAGATCTTACACGCATTAAAAGTCACATCATGCTGTACCTATATGTGCCGCAGGAATAATTTTTTAAAAAAAAGAAATGACAACATAAATGCTCTTAAATACTCCTAACATTATTTGTTCAGAGGTAATTGTATCATAAAACCAACCAAGCCAAAGATGACCAAAGCAAGCAAGCCTAACACTACTACATTATCATTAAATATTAAAATTCACAAAAACAAGAAAAGCAAAAGTAACAACAAACAAGAATTGAAAGTCTCAAAACACTCCCAGTTCCCAACAATCTAGTACTACTATAGCTTATCACTTTCCCAGTTCCCAAACAATCCAATCTCTCCTCACTACTGCTTGCACGGCAGATTCTTTGAGGGCTCAAAAGCAAAAGGTCCAACATTAAAGAGCTTAACCCCAGTCTCAGAATCCACTGGCTTTGATGTCATTGGTGCTGGTGGTGGCAGTGATGCAGGGATCAACATGGCTCCAGCTTGTCCATTGTGGAAATTTGTTGGGACACTGCACTCTGGTTTTGGTGATTTTGCTAAGAACACCTTGCACTTATGGTAACCTGCTGTGGTCAACCACTTTGGTTGGATGAAGAAGTAACCATTCTTGTCTGTTGTGCCTAGGGCTGTTAGGTGGTACTTTGTGTTGTTGCATGCCAGCTTCACCACCGCTCCTGCACCATAAAAAGATGGTTTACTTTTAGAAAGAAAAACTGAAATACTTCTAGAACTTTTGATTTTAAAATGTGATGGCTTTTTTTTTTACTAGAACATATCATAAGGTAAAGTGTTAATTTCAAAGTTAAATACTCCTAAAGCACCCGATTTTTGAACATGTAATAAGTAAAATTTTAGGTTCCAACTTCCAAGTTAATAGTTCTCAAGTACACTGTTTGTTCCATTTTATGTGATACTCCTACTATTTTACTTTTTAACTTTTTTATCTTAAATATTATGCCTCAGTCAAATAAGTTACCATAAAAATGGAACATATATATAAAAAGAGTGTCACATATTATGAAATAACAGGAATAGTTAAAAAGAGAAGGGACCCAGAATTGGAGAAGCTCCCAAGAGAGTGTCAATCCCCCTGTACTTGCAAGATTTACAGTAAACAACTCCTCTTACACCAACAAACTTCCTGGTTGGAAGAGGAGATGGTGGTTTAACTGGTGGATGAGCAGGCGGAGTTGGTGGTTTACTAGGCGAATGAGCAGGTGGAGTTGGTGGTTTAACAGGCGGAGACGGTGGTTTGACTGGTGGTGAAGAGTGAGAGGGAGAAGAAGCTGGGGCTTGGCCGTGCTTGTGGTGGTGGTGGTGGTGGTGTTGGCCGCCATTATGAGGCTTAGGGGTTTCAACGGGTGGGAAGCTAACAAGGGAATGAGGAGCTAGTTCTGAAGTGACAATGCCTTCGTTTTGGCCAAGAACTGTAAATGAGCTAAGTACTATAACTAGAATGACCCCAAAGGCAGCCATTTTTGCCAAATGGTCTGTTTGAACTGAGTTCTGAGTTGGAGTGAAGGGAAAATGGATTACATTTATAGGGGATTGGAAGAGGCATATTCTATAGTATTATGAACAAAAAAAATATAAAAGAAAGAAAAAGAGCACGAATCATAAATGTAGGGGCCAGTTAAATGGGGTCAGAATGAGGATTAGGACAAAAGGGAGTATATCATGTTCAAGAAATAAAGATTTTGTACAGGTGGCTAAATGCTTCACATGCAGAGGGCAGGAGGGGGCATGCTAATTTTGGTCATTTTGCACATCTAACCATGCGTCGTACAAGTTTCCAATGACCTCCGTTTTCATGTAATAGTAACATCTTAGTCCTCTAAATGGTTATAAAGGAGACAGCACTACATTCCAATGGTTAATCGTGATTAAAGTCAATTAAGGCACAGATAATTTGAAACAGTACGCATCAGCTTTATCTTTCTTTTTCAGTTTTGCCCTTAGCTTTGTAGTTTGAATTCAGAATTGGAGGAGTCTTGTGTACGCTAGTTACTAGTACCCATTTGTTTTGTTTATAGGTCAGTGTTCTGTCATAAGTCTCTGTCTGTATGTGAATACTGGTTCTGGTTCTGGAGGGAGTCCTACAACCCAAAACTCCAGAGGTAACGGCTAGCTGAAAAGCCTGCCTCTTAAGTCTTGGTTTTCTTCTCGAGGAATTTCGGTTCTAGACTAACTTGTGTAGGGGTAACTCAAGGATTTTATAAATTTTGTGGTTAACTTCTATAATGTGTAATATTTTATACCATAATATTAAATTATCTTCAACAATTGCCATAACAGTTGATATTTTATAACCAATATGATTTGATAACTTAAAAACTAAGTAAACAAACTATGTTAAATTATCTTGATGATATCAACAGAGTATATGACTCATAAACCCTCCCATTCTTTTAAGTTCTTCATTAATGAGAAATTAATTCTTTTTACTACTTGCACATATATTTTTTTATCTAGGCATGAGAAGCTGAAGCTAACAAGCATTCGCAGCAGGCAAAAAATAGTTGGGATTAGTGCGAAAGTTGCAGGAACCATGATAATAACACTGGCATGAGGCCTATTATTGAATTATTTTGAGATAATAGTATTGTATAGCCGCGCAAATAGTTTCAGACGCGGACTAAAAGTGAAAAAAGTGATTATCTTTGCCGTACTAAAATCATTATCATCGCTCCGGCAACCGCGGCAATAATCCCAATTATTTTGGGTTTGGATGTGAATTGTAAGTTCACCTTTTAATCAAGCTTAGGTATGCAAATTAAAAAAATATATATTAGTATCTCACTATTTGGGAATTCTTAATGATATGGGAATATTTTGGCTTGAATCTTGGTCTAGCAATGAAGGATATGGATTTGAAGCTAATTAAGAAGGGTTCAACATATAATCGACAAGTATATGGGATGTTCTTCTACTTGCATGGATCTACGGGATCGATTTTAGTCAATATAATTGAATGATTCTATTAGAGAGAGATCCCAAAATATAAAAATATGGTCTTATAATTTTGCTTTTTTCTTCATTGTTGAATATGCCTTGAGCTTTATGAAGTATTGATCAACTTCAAATATCATTCTTTTTGTGTGAAAATATTCAAGATCAATATAGCGATTTAAATTAGAAATTATGCGTAATTTGTGTCTACCTCAACTGTAATGAGCAAATTTATAAATATGGAGAGAAAGTCTTAGCCTTTAAAATGCATCGCAAAGAGAAATACTTCCTATAGATGTGAATAACATTTATATTTATATGGAAATGAACGGGCATACGATTTTGTGACATGAGATTGGAAGCTCATTACATATTGAACATAAAACTTGGCACATCAATTCACATAATACCTGAATTTTTCTTAATAAATTTCATAGATTATTAGTACAAAATTTCATGGATTTACTAAGGACTTCTTTTCAAAATGAAGGGACCAGTTGCAGCATATCTCAGTTTTTCACTTGCAGTATGTCTAATTGAAGGGAGTTTATCTTTGACTTGGTGACTCAAACTGGGAAGAACTGTTGAGTTAGCATCCCATTTGAAGAGCACACATTTACCTGCAACAAACATGCATAATCCGTCTTCATGTACATTCCAATAACAATATACATCAGGAGTGTGACAAATGTGAGTATTATTCAAGTTAAACAACTCGAAAAACCCGTGTTTCTCCCCTAATTTCACGTCACAAGAAAGGGTGTTATCTTCTCCAGGAATAATGCTCATATAGAATTCAACAATATGACCTGGAGTCATTATGTATTCGTCGCGAACATCAATTCCATGTATATAACATCTTGCCGAGGCTGTACTTGGAGTTTCATTTTTCACAATAACATTGATCGGGTAATGAACGGGGCTCTGTGAATTAACTGATGAAACTGCCAAGAAACTAAGCAAGAAGAAGCAAATTACTAAGTAGTGTGATGAGGATGGCATGTTGGTTATGTTTCTTGTTATTGTCGGTCCAATTTATAGTGATTATTGTATGTTCATATGGTTTTGGATAAACTTCTTCATTAGTATAACAACTTTTTAATGAAACTGTTTTGCCAGTCTTACCAAGAAGTCTTACCATCTGCGAGATTTTAGTGTGAGGTAAGTAACTTTTGCCCCTTATTTGGAAACTTCTGAAAACTATGCTTAAAAAAGGGAAAACTGGTAGAACTTTGCATATCTTGTTCAGTTTGACAAAGCATAAAAGGAAGGTAATTAGTGTTCCTAATTGATATTTTAGTGACATAAATAAATGCATATTGTTGGAACACAAGGTCAATACCTGTAACTTTTCAACAAACAGTCAAACAACAAAGCACTACATATGAACACATAGGCCTAAAATAACTCATGTTAATTGTGAGAAACCTACATCAGCATAATACTAACTCTCCACTTCTGTTGAGTAAATTAGGACATATTAAATCAATATTTGCGACAGAAACCATTTCCATATCTGGAGTGGATACAGAGTGATTCTGAGAACTAGGAGCTGGCATCAGTACTATTGAATGTAAACAATATCATAACATAGATAAATCTTACCAAAATGTCAGAGCAGGGAAGCAGTCATCTTCTGGAATATTTTCAGTTTGAAGTTACTGCACTCATTTGTTGCATAAGTATTTCTTCAACTCTATCCACGAAGACTGAGATAGTCTGTCGTGAATTTGTATCCAACGAGTTTGCCACTTCCTAGAAACATAAAATGAAGCAAAGATCAGAAGGCCAAAAACCTTGAATCGTATCCTAACATCAGAGAGACAATAAGCCAGTCTTTCCTTTCTTTAATTTCCACAAGAAAAACCGCATTAGCATGGAATTTTTCATTTAAAATAAAGCCGATAACTGACCCACCCAAACCTTTTCCCTATCAATTGGAAAATGCTTTGCAGACCATTTGAATACTTTAACCTATTATTATGCAGGAAATACCCGATATCAGAAAATTTGGAATTTAGTGGGCTTGCTAGGTCAATCAGAATCAGGTTAACTAAAACGTCCTTCCACGTGAAAAATCTGAGGTTAATTCCCTTTTATGGCGTGCTAGATCGCAATCAGAGTTACATACTGCACAATCATTCAATTGAAATGACTTTTCATGTGAAAACTCAGGATTTAATTTGTTTCTTTGATCGCATGCTTAACAATCTTAGTGGAAGTCGGTGTTGTTAGAGGTATATGATAAGGAAAGAAAGACTTCTCATTCTTTCAAACTAGTCTAGCTCAGCACAGACGTTGGAGTCAAGCATGATAATGCCCATATACGTCAAAGGTCAAGTGTGAACTCAATCTTCCCTTCAAACATGTCGCTTCATGGTGCACATTACCTCATTGTATCGGTCTTTTATTAATTTTTAGTCATATTTTCCATTTCTCTTTAACCGTTATAGACCATACAAATTCAGGTCAAATTACCATTCACGATGTAAATTTACATCTATTTTTGGTTAACAATCCAAACCCAATAGGACTTCAACAGTCAACACAACACTTTTAAGCACTGATTTGAAACAGCTATAGTCTACAACAGCCCAACCAATGAACAACTTACCGGAACCGTGCAAAGGAGGGTCAAAGGTATTTCTTTTGAGGAGTGACTTGAGCTCTTGAGGGACATCAGGGTCAAGCCAGAGGTGGTTAGTAATAACCGCAGTAGCAAGTTATCTCCTACCGTATAGGACTTTTTGTTATTCTGTTTTTTAATATCTCTTTTGGTGCTTATCAAATTCCTTTTGTTTAGGATTGTTATTCACATAGGTTTTTCTGTATCCTAGATTTTCTTTAATTTGTTATACTATTCACAGCTTTTATGTACTACACTTGGCTATATAAAGTCAACCTTATAATCAATAACTCACACCCTTTTTTTACGACCTCATTAACCTTTTAAAATAATAAAAGAAAATGTAAAGCTCAAAAGGGTTTTCAATTTTGAAAGTGACAAAGTAATTTGTGTTTCGAAGGATTATTCAGAGTTGTCACCTGACATTTGATTTCGGTGTGTCCGGTCATCGTTTTTTAAAATAACAATTTTCTTTCAAAACGCGTTTGACTCTTAAACCAGTTGCACAAGAGAATCAGGGTAAGAGGGTTCATTTGACTCGGGGAGCAGGTGTTAGGCACTCCCCAAGCCCCGTGAAAGTCACGGTTGCGTACCCGATCTAGTTGGCTTTTAAAATATCCAAAATTAAGGTAAAAATACACAAAAAGAAAATAGACACAAAAGGTTCAAGGTTGTCCCTGCCTAAATAAAAGACAAACAAATGAAAAACAAAATGAAAATAGAAACAAAATAAGATATTACACCATGCTTCCTTCACAAGCTCGTCACGGCCTCCAAAATATTTACAAAATACTTCAGGGCATTCTCCGGATATTACAATCGACTAAAGGGACAACCTCTCACCTTAACAAAACTAAAATATAAACGTCCTAAAGGTTTGTCTACCCAAATGTGGTCGGCCTAAGCATACTCCTAGATGGGTAAACGAATAATAAAACTATAAACAATAGTAATGAAGATTTAAGATCCAAATTATCATTACTTTCAATGCCCCAAACCTTCGGCTTATTTCGCCATCCAATTTGATTAAATCACCAAACCACAAAAAAACACATATCCTATTTAACAAATGTCTAGCAAAAATTGCGTTATGAATGGCCAAACACATAAGAAAGGGAAACAAGACAGACAAAGACAAAATAAAGGAACATATATAAAGATAATATTAAATATCTAGATCAATGCATCATCCTAACACGCATAAGAGGAAACGAGCAGAATGCATACACGAGCC